CAACAAAACATTTAGATACTAATGTACTGATATTAATGTACATTTCAAGAGAGCATAAATCAGCTAACTGAATATACACCATATAAATAGAACCTAAAACAAATATCATTAGTCTACGTGTTCATATTAAAAGCCTCTATGATTCTCACTTTTACGAACTACATAATAATTATGAACATGAGTTTCAACATACGAAGTTTTAATGGCTTTTAAATTTGACTCAAGGCATCGTGAGGTTAGACGATAATAATTAATCTTTAAAAGGTTTAACCTTTTTTTATGACTTTCAATATATTTAAAGCCTGACGCTTCGTAGAATTAAAATATTTTGGAGTCCTTGTCTCATTTTATTACATAAAACAGCTTCCTGGTGAATAAAAGCTTGTCAGCCTTTAAAACGGGCATGTTGCCTATAAATATTTTATAGAATATACTGTGGAGGGTGTGCAGGATATCTTCATGTTTTTACTACTAGATAAAAGTTTACATTGTCTCATAACTAGGCCTTTCATAATAAGACAACTATCATAGTTTTGTATATGATTAATAATTAATTTAAGGGATATATTTCCTTCGATTTAAAAGTGGTCGTCCGTAATTGTTGTATTAATAGAAAAAATAACTTTGAATTATTTTCAAAAGAATCTTTATTTATTAGTTTAAATCAAGATTATTTCATGAATTTATTATAACTCGTTTAAATACAAAGTAGGTATATCAAGATAGAAAAAGGTTTTTCAAAGTGAACGTGATCTCATGAAACCTTATTTGCATGTAAGACTAGTATTTTCTGAAATATTAAAATATTGTAAAATTTATCATATCAAAGTAGAAGTAAGAACGAAGTTAAGTAATCAAAGTATTTTATGTCAGTGAAATGTTCACAAGATGAAACCATATTATTCGCACTCTCAATAATTTACATTGCTTGCAGGAAAAATTTCCTTACTCTAACACTTATCCCAAAATCTTCCCTTTAAAATAAAATAGTAATTTGGTTGTATTGTTACGTCACCTGTGTGACTTGAAAATGTAATCATTGTACCTTACTTACTGTTCTTGTTTTGCTGATTGATAGATTAAAGAATTCCCAATCAACATCAAAGAAAGAATTGCAAAAGAAGACATCTTTCCATATTTCCAGCTAACTCCTAAGTCCATACTAAGTTAACTCCGTCAGGATTGTACCGAGAATCATTTGTTCCTCAGTCAAAATCACGTACTGTACTCCAAAACACAAAGTATAGTTTAAATGTAATAAAACATTTGTATCTCCGACCTAGTTATTTAATTATCAATTCAATATGAAGTTATCATTCCACTATATTCCTATACCCAACGATGTAATGAAAAATACCACTATAGAATAGTCATTTATCTTTGTTTCTTGAATAGCAGTGAAATCATTGGCATCTCTCCTAATCTCTCTATCCCTGTATTAACATATGTATGTTTATATATTACTAGCTTTCCGCCCGCAGTTTCGCTGACGTGGAGTTTGGTTATATCTCGTTTCCAAGAGAATCTTTCAAAAGTCTGGAATAAAAAACTATCTTATGTTCTTTCTCAAGGTCAACTCTATATCTGTACTAAATTTCATTAAAATCAGCTCAGTGGTCTAGGCGTGGAAGCGTAACAGACAGACAGACAGACAGACAGAGCTACTTTCGTATTTATAATATTAGTAGGGATTCATAAATTTCGTTATGACCTTGAATATCTTCAGTACTGTACAATTTACTCGCTTCCTATTTTAATGGATTGCGTTAAAATTTGTAACAAAATTAAGTCATTATTTAAGTAATTATTCTAACGTTTGTAGAAGTATTATAAAATTATTATGCTCTTATTTAATGTCCCCTTACTATTCCTATTACTACTATGTTAATGAGAAAACATTTATTTAACACCAAAAAATATATGTACCTATATCTTCCTCTCCCTTCGTAGCCTTCGTCTCCCTCAAACTACTTTTAAGGTCTCATAATAATACACTAAAAATCATATTTCTTCTAATATATACTCAAAATGATTTCTAGGAATTAACAAAATTGGATTAAAAATGATACAAAATTTTATTTCGGCTCAAAAAGTAAACTTTCGTCACTGATCTGGAGCTTTAATCTCATTATTTGGTCTTTGTTTTAGGTTGGGAGGGTCACAAAGTAAATATTGATAGCACACAAGACCTTTAAACGTTTTATATTACTTCCGTCTGCATACATTCATTATTATGTTGGTTTAGAAGTATGCTTGTTCTTATAAAATAACATTAATATATGTATGTAAAGATAAGATGATTTGAACACAATTTTATTAAGTATACATTTTAAATTTTAATTAATTGTACGTTACGAGTATATCAATTGTTCTCAGGATTTTTTCTATAGATTCTTTACTAATATAAATGAGTATTTATTTTGTGGTAATGGCTATATATTTTTTATTACTAATCATTTTGTTATAATAATATGTATAATTAATTTTCATTAATATGGAGATATTCTGTTGTATCAAATGGAAAATAAAAACAGAACCAAAATAAAACCTTTAATTCCAAATAAGTAGTAGAATGTAGTAACAATAATAAAAAAAATATTTTATATATTTGTGACAGATTTCAAGTGACCGAATTATGATTTATAAGTCCCTAGCAGATATATTTTTGTGGGGTAGAAGTCATTCCTCAAATAACGAGTCAAATCCAATCCGATGTTGAAGTCTTAAACCAGAATAGTTTTAAGATCTCTCTTAAGTAACTTCTCTTAGTCTCATTTCGAGTGAAACTAACTAATGTGTTGTGACAAAAACATAGCCTTTTAATTAAAGATTTGTAAAAATAGGTAACTTAAAACCAAACAAAGCTTAACTTTTCTGCTTCAGTAAACAAAATGTTACGTTAAAATTATTAAACAAATTTTATTAGTAAGTAAAAAATAAGTCAGTTGTGGCCTAGTGGTTAAAAGGCCCGCCTCTTGTGCATGAGGGCGCGGGTTCGATCCTGACAAATACCAATCTGATTTTACCGAGTCATATGTAGTTTCTGAGAGTATAAATTAGACACCACTGAGAGACGATGAAGGAAAACATCGTGAGAAAACCTGAACTTATAATTTCACAATTATAAGTTTAAAATCACCAAGCCGTCTTAAGCAAGGATGCAATTAATGCTCAAACCTTCTCCATGTGAAAAAGAGGCCTTTGCTCAGCTGTGGGATGTGATAAAGGGAAGCTGATGAAAAAATAATTGTGTCTTGTATAACATTTATTTACTTCTTTGGTTTCAGGAAAATTAGTTTTATATCAAAGGAGATAGAACCCACTTTTAATCTTTAACGATGTTGAAAACTTAAAGATGAATTTTGATGACTATTAAATATTAAAATTTAGCTCAGAGCTATTCACAGCAAATTCACAATACCAGTGTAAATAAAATTATATCTTTTTTATCAGTACATAACTGTTTAAGATTTCATTTCTATTCAATGTTAACAAAAGAAATTTTCATACTATAAAATATAAATCATCATTTGATTTATAAAATAATGCAAATAAAGAAAGCTATTGAAGTAACTGATATTAAATGTTTGTTTTCTTTTTATCTACAAGAAAAATAATATTTACATATTACCTTACCTTAGAATGATATACTTTGCAATAATTTTTAATATATGTTTTAGAATACTTTACTCTAAAATTAATAAAGCCTTTAAAATACCCTAGAGCCATTTAATATAGCGAAGGTTCTTTGTAAGTCTTTCACTATTTGATAGTGAATATAATGAAATAATAAAGCTTGTTTTACGTTTAATAAAATGAAAGGAAATATATTTATCATTTTATTTTTTCCATAATGTACATAAGTACACATATCTACCTTGTCGAATAGCTGGTTCTATTTTATCTTTTTTCATCAGTGTACATACAAGATGCGAGACAGACCACTTACTTTTTTCTAGTAATTGCATTGCCAAAGTACATTAAAGTATTGTATCTTGCAGAAGTTAGTTAGATACAGCAAGCGTTTAAAGTGAGTATTTATTGTACGTTCAAAATAAATAATATTAATCTTAAGTAATTTCAAAGTTTTTAAAATTTCGTTAACTTAAAGATTTTGTGTATTAATACGTAATGATAAATAAATATAGATTTCATTTCTCAATTATTAGAAATTCTTACAATCACATTTTAACAAACGGGGCAGGAGGTATAATAATAATTACAAAACAATTTAAAGCTTTTAATTTTATTATGTAGCAATCCAAAATTAATTTTAACATACAAAATATAAGGTATTGATCTTAAAGCAATTTCTACCTTAAATATAGACACGGTAGTTTTAATTTTTCTTAGAAGGATATTAGATTATTTTCAGAGTTCGGAAGGATGTACGTTTAATGAAATATCGTCTATTTAAAAGAATATTAACCTTGAAGATTATTAATAAAATAATAATGACTTATTAATAAGAATAGACAAAAACAAATTGAAGTACTTATAACATAAAATACACTTCAAAAATCTTTTATACCAAAATATCGTAATTAAGAGATTTAATTTTTATATAATTCAACGGACTTTTGTGAAACCATGATTACTACAACAATTGAATCAGATATAGTTTTTATAGAAAAAATATTTTACTGCATAAAAACTTTATGTATTTTTCAGACTTCATTACAAGAATAAGAACGTTTCAATACAGGAATATTGGAATAACATCGATAATTGTCTTCAAGCTACATTAAAAATTTCATTGAGACGAATAACATTACAGATGAACATTAATTAATATCTATTTACAATTTCAATACATTAAAAATATAACTATAGCTTAAACGAAAACCCTGCTTTGAATAGTCAGTCTCCTTTACACTTCCTTGTCTAATACAGTTCTGTATACACTATTTACTTCACACAGGTGTAGACCTGGACTTACAATACTCGCTCAGCACTCGACTCCGCTCGCTCGGAGCACAGAACAGTCTAGCTGGTGGATGTCAGGCTCGACCACGACACTTCACTTGACCAGACTTGACCTCTACACGTTCGGGGGATGGAGTAAGCGTGGTCTCCGCAAATCTTACGCCCAAACGGGGACCAACGCGACCGTTCTAGATGTTTTCCAAGAATATTTAATATGTATATAATATATATGGGCATTTTGTGAAAAATTTTCTTTGCCAGAGACGCTGTAAAAGCCGCAGGGCTAACAGCGATATACATGTATATCTTACCAGGAAAAAGTGTGTATTTTTTTATCGTTTAATTTTAATATACTCTGTATCTTTTCGAACGTATTTATATATTTTTTTTATTTTTCTACCCAATAAGATTAATTCAACTTGAAATTTTATGTTCACTATCTTACCTTAACGGGTTTAGTCAAACAGGTTACTGGTACGTTGTTCCTGTTCTTCAAGGAACTTGAACCTGAGTTACCTAAAAATAATATGTACCTGAATAAAAAAACTATAATGAAAAAAAATAATAATTATGGAACAAAAGGGAGAAATTTGTTGCAAACGTACGCTTAGACCAATAGACCAAAGACTAGACTATATTTTCTGTGTGAGTGTGCGTGTGCATGTGTGTGTGTGTGTGAGAGAGAGAGAGAGAGAGTTCGTATGGGTTACGCATAAAATAACTCTGAACTTACCAACAGTATCAGAAGTCGTAGAGCTACAACAGATTTTCTTAAGAACTCTGTGTATTATGCCACTGAGTCGTAACACATAGGAACCATATACGAGAGGATTCATACAGGAATTGGACACAGCCATCGCGAACAAGAGATCCTGGACTTGGGGAGCGACGCGGGATGCAGACTCCCGATCAACCATATACCTGTCATACAATATCATTACGATTAAGTAAATACCACGTTTTTTGCTCTTATAGAAACAAAGAAGTGAGCCTAATAATTGCTTCCCCATAATAACTTTATCATCGAATGTTATCCTAAAATTTTCAACTCAAACAAAATCGAATACCTATATTTCCTTTTACAAGACTTTTGTTCACTTTTTGTCTTTAATTGAAGTTTGTGTCGTAAAACTGAACAATAGTTTCGAAAGTTTTTATTCATAGATATTTTTATTATTCACACAGATTCATGAAAAAGTCGTTATTTATGCGCCTTTTTATTTTTTATTATAAATAGATTTGGTTAATATTTTTTTCTCTATATACTATTTAATGTTTTTCGTATAATTCTGGTCACCTGTTTTGTATAATGGAGTAAGTTATGACCCGTCAAACATTTAACACACACAAGATATTTGAAGTCAAACAACTCTCCGGCTATCACAAAGCAATATGTCTTAATTAATGTAATAGCTAAATTGTGATGTTATATACCATACCATTTAAATAATTTGATTTCATAGAAGTCAATGACCTCTTGGTCCATTTGTTTGGTAATGTTTTTGCCATTATGTCTCGTGTATTATAAGCTTCACTGATATGAGGTCGTTGACATTTTATTAAAAACGTAAGCTTCTAGTTTCTACCAAATAAATAAAAACTCTTAAAATTTCTTTATCCATAGATCGTAATCGTAAGCCTACATCAAAATAAAATAAGCAAAGCTTTTAAAAAATAAACATTTATAATGTTGACCAAAAGTATAAATTTATTATTTTTATTAATCTTACTATTAATAAAATCTAATCACAGGATCAGCTTAAAATCCTCTCTTGGTTCAAAACGTGGGAGAGCGCTCAACAATTTATTTCTAACTTATTTTATTCTCTTCATACTTATAAGCTAAGCAGCTAAGCAAGATTTTATAAGCTGAGTACATATTATAGAGCTTGATATTTTAAGCCAATAAGATTACGTGACTTGGTTTATTCTGTTAGCCTTCTCATAAATTTCATACTATTTCATATTTGATAATTATGTTTTTTAATAATGATTGGATAATACTTGACCATAATTCCAGTCGTTGGTAGGTGGAAATAAAGTAATAGGTAACACACTATAAAAGGGACAATATTCAATATTAAGTTAATTTAGATTATTTCAGATTATAATTCTTTATTATATTTTAACACTTTATTGATCCTATTCCAAAAATGCAAAAAATATAAAGTTATAAGGTGGTTATGGTGTTAAATTTGTTCCTTGCAAGTCTAGTAGAAATGTAGTTCATTTGATATTCCGCGAAATATATATGAAAACCTAAAATTTATTGTTAAATATTGTCTTTACAGCAGTTAATGATAAGTTTCTTTAAACTCACTTTCTGTAATTTGGTTTAAGGCTTGTAGTATTAAATGTTTGTATATTTTATTCAATGTACAATAACAATTTTAGTTTCATTCTACATAAATCGAATTAAATGATATGTTTTATAAAGACGCGAATATTCTGCCTGGCAAAGAATTTTTTGGAATGTTCTATTTATTAAACAACATCGTCAAATACCGAAAATGAGTAGTTCTAAAATTAGATGCCTATTATAATTTTCGCTATTTTTGCCTTGGGCTATAAATAAACGAAGGATTATTGTGATTAATGCTATTTGTGTGGGTTTATGTACGTTTTTAGTATAGTTAGTTGATTTTGAAATGTCTTGTCAAGTTTCGTCGTTGTATTAATAAAATTAATTCTAATTGAGAATTTCTAACATAAGATAATTTATTCTTAAAATATTTAACACAGAGTTATATAATATTTACTTTTCGAGAAAATCAACTTAATTTGAATAGCTGAAAAAAATTTACTTTAATTTAAGAAAGTTTATGAAGACTTTGTTTGTTTAATGTACATAGACTCTGTCATACAATAGTGCAATATTCTTACCACATAGCCATCGTAGCGTACGGTAGCCAACACAGTGCGAATACAGTGACTATAATGACAGTCATCCGAAGAGTACGGCGACGAGCTCGCTCCAACATCCGTCCATCGGATCTACGTAGACGAACACTGTTGATACTGCTTCGACATTTAGCTGATTAACACAAATAAATGCTATTAAAGTATGCTATTATATAAATTGGAAATTGTAAAGATAATAAAGAGTATTAACTAAATTGCTAATGGAAAATTTTACATGTTGGGTATGGAATCTTGTTATTGTGAAAAACTTATTTATATAAAATCCTAATGTCATAGATTTGAATAAGAACTCGATAGCTTATTGTAATTGTTGATTTGTTCAAACCTTCTCCATCGTGCAAAATTTTAATTCAAATATATTTTTTGTTCTTAGCAATTGAAAAGAAACAATATTTATTAATAAATATCAAATCGAAGTAAAAAATTTCGATTCTTTTGATACATAATAATATACTACGATTTGAGTTGGCTTATTATTATTTTGGTTAATAATGTCCCAATTACTAAAATGTGCCTTTTTGATTAGACATTCTTGTTCGTGGTTAGTTAGGAATAAAAATCTTGGTTGTCACAAAAATGTCAATAAGATCGGCTTTACAAATAATGGCTATCCTGATGCTAAGGCCCAGTCGCTTTATTAACGAAGATATGAATACAGAAAAAATGAAGATATGTCGTTAAAAAGCTATTAATATATCGTTAAAAAATGAAACGAAACGAAGACATACCGTTAATTTCATTACTGCTTCTTCGTATTTCACAGAAAATGCAGACATAACATACTGTGATAACTAATAACGGAACGAAATACATAGCGCACAAACAGAAGACGTTGTACGCTACTTCTAAACGGACACTTGAGAAAGCGTCGAAGGACACACACTGCTCGAAACCAGACACGTAAGGATGATTCATCACACGAAATACAGCACTCTGGAATGAAAACTAGATTAAATGGACTATAATCCTTCAACCATAACAATTAACTGAGATTTAGAGAAGTTATAGAGAAAAAAGCTATGTATATTAAGGTTTTTCATAAAGTATAATAAGTTACTCCACGTTAAGTCGTTTGACAAATATGCAAAAAGTAATATTGTAAAATAAATCAGCATTTTCTTCTCGCAAAAAATGTTTGCAAAATAAATAAAAACTTTTGAGTAATTTAATCTGTGTTGTGAATTATACTAGAGCAATCATAAAAATAAAGTATAGTAGGATTTAGATTTTATGATGAATATTATGACTTTTGTTAAATAATACTGTAATGAACCTGGGATGAACTCTCATCTGAATTAGGGTTTAGAAAACGGAAGTTTTAGTTTCATTAGTATTGGAAGATTCAGTAACTTAATCAAGGTACACGCTCTGTAAACTTTTACTAACATCTCAACATCACTTGCAATTTAGGGCCACCTAACACTAAAGGAAACCCTTCGTAGCTACGATTTCTGTGGGGCCTTAAAATATATTTTATACATACTTACATCCCATTAATAAAAAGAAATGCATTTTTTTACATTTCTGATTTCGGGATTGTCTTATTCGTTGATGATTCTTTTAAATAAATAAATAAACAAATATTACAAAAATTCATGGCAATAAAAACACATTCTTGACTCATCTTTTATGTAATGTAATTACGTTTAACTTTTGAGTTCTTTAAAACATACTTCTAAAGCGATTAACTTTCATCCAATAAGATACGAAGTATTTTTTATTCAAAATCCTCACCTGAGGCAGACTGCAGCACAGTGCTACGGTCCATGCAGCATACAACATTTGTCGGCTTCTTTTTCTAGCCACAGACAGTTTTAGAGGATATAAAACAGCAAAAAACCTGGGAAGGGAAAGGTATGTTAGTTACACTATTTATAACTCAAGAACGGCTGTACGGTTTTTGCTGATATTTGGAGGAGAGATAGAACAACGGTAAGGACATACTTTTAATAGAGTTCGCCCGGTCAGGTATACATTTCTAATTCTGAAGCTAACGCAGACGAAATCGCGGGCAAAAACTAGTGTAACAATAAAAATATGAAGCAAATATATCGTTTCAATTTAAACTTTATGACAAATGTTGGTGATTCTTTTTGTGCAATTTGTAATCTTTAAATACATTTATTTAACTTTTTCACTTATTCATATGGGTAGCCTAAATTTCCATAAAAATTTTCTTTTATTCATTTTTGTTCTTCATTTTTATTGTGTATTATAAAAATATAAATGTTTTTCAATTTGATCCACTCATATACATACATGTATAATATGATGCATATAGACACTCATGTCATTATATGTACTTTTCGTATTTAAAAGGCATCGTTGGCGTTTTCATATCATATTAAATTTAAGAAAATCGAATGGAAAAGTAAGACAAAGTTAAAAAGCTTTCCGCCTGTTATAAGGACGGAGTAGTTTGTAAGAAACTAGATCAAAAGAAGCCTTTGTAAAATCTTAACGGTTTAAAATTCTTCTTCTAAAATTTTAAACAGTTAACAATAGCCTACTTCAGAATTTAAAAACTTTTTTATTAATAACATTCTAGTTTTTCTTGCAAGTTCAATCGTTTGATTTTCGGTTTTAGTTTTTGAGTATGTATAAATTATGTTAAAACAATAGGTATAGTGACGGTACTTAATACATACTACAGTTGGTATGCTTTGATCCTGTAGTAACTAAATGGAATTTCTCAATAATTATAGTACACGTGTTATTATGTGTAGTTTATGTTATGGTAACGTTTTATCACAATACGTAGGGATGTTTTTTAAAGAGCAACAAACATCCGTAAATCCGTAGACCCATACAGCTTGTACAACCACACACCCACACATCCACATATCCATACACCCACATATTCATGCACCCACACATACACATCGTCATTATCTCTATATATATTATAATATAATTAGGATAAAAAGAGACGACAGTTAACAAAAATACACAAAATGCTATCTTTTAAAAGTTATTTTATAAAACGCACTTAGAAAGTTTAATAAACCTTCTTCATTCCGTAACTTTCATAGTTTTAAACTTCGCATCTACCCCAGTTTTATATATCAAAGTAAAAAATATTTATAACATCGCTTCTTTGTAGCCCTATATGTGTTTCTGGCTTGTCAATATTATGACTTTTGAGTACGTTGATATAAACATGAAATTCCTACGTTGTATCTAATGCAAACAAAATTCTATTAAATGCAAACAACATAAATAGATAGACCTAAAAATAGATTTGATGAAGAAGATTAATCAAGTAAAATAATTAAAACTCATATTTGAATTAACAGAGGGCAAAAAAACTGAAAACTATTTCCAAAACTATCTTCAAAATTAAAATGAATTATAACGAATACTGAAATGAACTTCTATAATTATAGTATACATCTTAATAACCCAAATGATTCTGTGATTCTTCCTAAATTCAGTAATAAAGGGATGAATACAAAGATATGTAAACGTACAATAACAAACCTGTCAATGGAAATGCAGACCAACACGTTGGAGCTCAGATACAAACCGAAAGCTCTCATCACGAGAAGGATTTTACACAGTAGATTACCAACGAGCCAGGCGTTCGTGTATTTCCAACCAATCTGGAACAAAGCAAATACGATGAACACGAGAAATAATGATAATGATATGATACGATGCATAATAAAACAATGTTATATATATTTCTGTACAGTAATAAGTACAGTTTATAAATTAATGGTTTCGCGAAATGCTATTGAACGATTCATATTAAACTATATAGCCATAATGGCTTAAATTAATTATAATATATACATAAATATTTACATGAAAGTAAATAAGAAGTCTACAACTATGAAACACTCATATAACAAAAGTACCTTAACTATGTAGCCTTTGAACAAAAATATGAAATGAAATTAACCAAGGCCTAACAAACATTATTTTGGCCAAACTCCTACATACAAATGTATTCCTTTGATCACCGCTTGACAGTTGTTTCTCTTGCAATCTGTATGTACTGATGATACATAGACTTGTCACTTGTATACAAAGCAAATGATTGACCATAAATAGCTCAAAGAACTTTTACTACAGCTCAGGCAGCTTCTTTTTAAATTAGGCTATCAGTTCTGTCTCTCCTGCAACTACGTTTTTAGAGTATATAGAATTTAAGCTGTTGAGAAAAGTTGTTCAATACCTATGGATATTCTTTTTATTTGGTTTCACTGGCGTTTAAATATTTTTGTTCTTTTTTTAAATTTGACAAATGAAACACTCTTTTGTATAAGTATTAGACATCTTATTTTTTCTGACAATTTCCCAGCTTTAGCCAGGGTCTGCCTCGTATAAGTATTAGATATATTAGCATAAAAAATATAATATATTCAAACATATTAATAATATTAGACTAGTGTGTCATATATACAATCTTATCGAAAGAAACTCTTCATTAACAAAACGGCACTGAAATGACATTAACCTTATAATTTTGCGTCCATAATCTTATTTGCGTCCATTCAATTTTGCATCGTAATTTGAGTGAATGAATGACAATTAAGACTAACTGTTACATTACATTCGTTAATAAAACTTTTACTAAAGAATATACAAGGTTATAAAGTAAGTTGTTTGATAAGAACTTTGTTTCATTACTTAATTGATTGATGGATTGAATACATCCGTTGAAATATATCCACACAATAACTTTATTACAGAGATCGTTGGGTGGATAAAGAAATTAGAAAGAACTTGTATTTATTTCACCTTTATTTATAATATGCCAATAAAATAAAGAATTTTCGTAATATAAAAAATCTAATATATCTCGAGCGTTACAAAGCTAAAAGCGGACAGAAGTTTAAAACTTTTACAGAATTTTGTTCAACAATTTATTTTCGAATTCTTCATGAAATGCTGGATGAAAAATTTATGCCGGATTTTATCAATTCTAGACTAAACTGGCCTTTTACAGGAGTCAAACGAAATACTTAATTACAAAAATATTTCATAAATATAAAGTTTATTGGTTTTATTAAGTGACATAGTAATGAAAAAATTGTAGTTTTACAGATAATATGGCGATTACTATGCATTATGTTGTCAAATGCCTAGTAAAAACGTAGTGGCACTTTACGAAATGGCCTTACCTTACAAGTAGATGTAAAGACGAGGGCATGATTACAAATCATTAATATACATAAATATGTAATCCATAATAATTTTAATAAATCTATGTATATAAATATATATATATATATATTATGTATGTTTATTCCATCGAAATATATTCAAATACTTAAATGAAACTAATATTTTTCGGATGTATTACGCGATTTTAATTTTTGACTATAAACTAAATACTCCCGACGTTTCGGCTTTTTTACAACAACTGTGATCACGGGCAGACGAGATGTAAGTATCTATATATCAAATACTATACCTACTACATAAACTTTACACATTTCTTTCCTTATTTTAATATCGTAAATATCTTGAGTGTGGGGTTGAAAATTTTTAGCCACTTTGTAATTACAGGAATTACATTGATTGAAGAAGCGTAATATTCAAATCTTTTGTGGTAGTGGTTTTATTTTTTGAATATACTCTTGTGTATATTCAAAAAGATTTGAACTTTCGATATTAAACCTATAATGTTTTTTAGTGTTATTATTACTTATATTTTTCTTTGTCTTGTCTCACAAATCTTCTTAAATAAAGAGAAATTATAATTTAATTCAATGCAGCCACAAGATAGAAAAACCTAAGAGGAAAAAACAACCTCTTCTTAATTTCCTTTGTCTTAATAAATACAAGGACTTAAGGAAAAATATTTTTTTTAAATCACAGTCAGAAACTTCTACTGAAATATAATTTGAATTTAAATATACAATAATCTTATTTTATTTAGTTTAATATTATTTTATTTAATATAATATTTCGGTCAACTATTTTGAGAAACTTTTTTTTAATTTAAATCTGTTATTGTGTCAGTTAGGTGATATTAATTTATTTAAAGTTTTATAAACTAAAATTAATATGAAAAAAAAATTGAGGTCTATTTATATGAAAATTATAATGTCCATATTAATGTGTTAAATAGTAAACTCTTATTTTAAAGATTTTCACTAGAAATATACGTTTAAATTAAACTATATTTTTGGTTGAAAAAGGATACATTTTGGTTACCTTTTACATTTTACATTTTAAACTATCATTAAATTAGTCGACAACAAGTAGCGCCACTGAAAGTCGATTTGAAGGTGACTGAACATATTGTAAGTCGGTCTTTTTCTCATTTTCTCATTATTTAAGTTTCAGAATAAATTTACTCCATACCGTTTTTCACAAAACCTTTTCAACTTGAATAAGGAAATCATTGACAGGTGCCAATAAAAAGTCTAATTGACACATGCTCTTCCTTTCATGATTGACAAATACATTGAATTACATTTCCCGCCAACAAAATTACTGTTACGTATTTAAAACCTTATGCTACCAAAATTAATACATGGCCTAATACGGAATATGGAATTGTTTTAAATTTACCTAACTTATTAACAATATCAAAACAGCATGAGTATTTCACAATATGTATTTTCATACAACATGACACCCAATGTATTCTCTAGTAACTTCACACGAATATTCAAACTATTGTTTTCATAAGAATATTTAGAAAAAATATTTACCCTTTAATTTTAATATTATTTATGTAAATTTTGCATATAGAAATCAAAATAAAGCATTTCATGATAATGTAATAAATAAGTCAACATTTTTATTAGTAATATAAAGTATTGCATACAATTCTTTAAGTTATTGAAAAACCTAAACGGCCTTAAACTTATGCTATATCAATTTTTATTTAATATAAATACAAGAAAAATCTCTCATTCATTTTAATATAAAGGGACAAGTTTATGTATCACTAATATTATATAATATATTATCTTCCAATGATCATGTGTTAAACTATGGATATATAAAGAGACTTGATAGAAATACAATAGAGATGAAATGAATTTTTATTTATAAAACAGTGGAGTGAATCCTCAAAACATATTCTATTATCTCTTCATAAGCCAGATTTAACCACACATTATTAAATTGTATAGAATGAAATCACTGAAAATTACTTCATTAATAGTTACTCTATTCGCAGTTGTACAAATATTGGCATATATATTAAATTTTAATAGATTGTTTAAAGCGATTGATTATAACAAAGATATTACCAAATAATGAGATCTAATATTTTCGCGAGTTTTATTCATTTAAGTGAAACTAATATTTTTCGAATAGGTACACTACGTGTGCTTTATTTTTGTAAATAAAACTACATACACCCGACGTTTCGGCTACTTTTCAGTAACCGTGATCACTAGCAGAAGATATCTCGTATGTATTTTTTAACGCCAAGTAACGATTCAATTTATAAAATATTTTAAATATTAATAATGACATTATCCTATCATATATTATGTAAGATTTCTTTTTCCATAAATTAAGAATCTTGAAAGCTTCTCATTTTAATTTCCCTGAAGATAAATTATTCTGCCTCTTACTGCTAATACACTTACGCGACGAACTCCTGATTACAGATAAATCTCTTAATGCTATCAAAAGTAATGATTTTTTTGCTTTGACTTCTTGTTAATAATGTCTGTTAAATTCAATTATATTAAAAAACCTATTATAACTGTTTCATAGGGCCTTACGTTAAGTGTAAATATTTTTTTAAAGATACCTTACTCACAATGGAAAATAATTTTGAAACATATATTACCTCAAGTGGAATTACTCCACAGGTCACACAGACATCAGCTATAGCAAGATGTGTCATGAGCAGATCAACCCTGGAGCGTCTTCTACGAGTACGAGAGAGTGCTATCAGCACAGCCAAGTTTCCAGCAGCACCCACCAGCATCAGAACTCCATAAACACTGAGAACAGCACCCTGCTGCCTTCCAACTTCATCCCAAGTGATATTACGCTCTTCAGAATCGAAATACTCCCAAAACTGACGATCTACCGACGAAGTTGGAAACTCACTGTTCGTTAGGTTAGACGAATTTGATACCTCCATTGTTATTTTATTAATTAATCGTACACAAACAAGCACGATAGCGAAGGAAGTTGATTTTTCAAAGCAGTATCACTTTGTTTTTATACTCCATTATATAAAAGAAAATTATGTTTAATAGAGTAACATCACTTAACCATAAAATAAATCTAACAACTTTTTAAGCGTTTAAAAAAATCACTCATTAACACAAATGATCACCAGATAAAAATATTTAAATTTTTATAACTTCCATTAATCGATCGTTAATAACACAATAACTCAATATTTTTATTACATATCCTAAAAATATTTAAACTTATTAACTTTTAATACGCTTCGTAGTTTTAAAGGCAGAAGATTTAAGACGTCCTCTCTTCAACGTCTGATAACGCTTACTGACGCTCGACGTTTTAACTTTACGGGTTTGAGCGCAGATTGTGACTGAAGCATTCCTTATCAGAAACTAGATAACAACCTCAAGTTCAGAGAACTAAAAGCTTAAAGGAAATGATAGGAGTGATTTTTTTATTACAACTCTTATTCTAATACTTTAGAAAATACAGTTTATCAAGAAAATACAGAGCAAATAGAATGGTTAATTCGTATAATGATAAATGTCGTTTTTAATTCAGTTTAATATGATTCATGTAATGTTCTTTTCAAATTTGGTTAGGTAGGGAGAGAAGCGTGGACGGTGGAGGTGAGCGTTTAACGCGTGTTAGAGTAGGCCCCCTTAAACCTACACCTGGGTTACAATTCCCAGGCACTGTTGAAGCTCCTCTCCCTACAAAGATGAACCCGGCACTCACACAGTGAATACATTGAATGCTAAGAGGTTTTGTCTCTGAAAATTTTATTACAAGATTCTGATGATTTTACTGGAATGTGTAATTTGGCGAAATTATAACAAAATATGTATTTGCGTATTGTGTGGGCATATTTTGAAGAATAAGTAATTCTATTAACTCTTTTGTGTGATGTGTTGGAGAACTGACATTTCAAGAAGTTTTCCGAGCTTATTAGGTATATACACTACTGTAATTTATTCGATGATAATACTTTTATATATAAATGTATATTTTCTTAGAGCATCCTTTGAACTAAAGAAATATATTCTATATTCCTGTGATCTTGACCCAAAAAATATAAATCAAATATAACGTGTTGAATATAAAAAGAATTGATGTCGAATTGCTATCTCATTTTTGTTTAGATTGGTTTTTATTTTGCTCTCACAATAATAAAATGTGTATGTTTTCTATTGCTATAAAATATATAAAATAACATTACATTATTATAGTTTTTTATATTATTTGAAATAAATTTATTAGGTATATTAATATCTATAATATTGTTATCATAAGTTTCACCCTGAATCTAAATTTGAATTACCAGGCTCTTGCAAACGTTTATAAATTTATATAAAAATTGCTATCATTATTTTTTATTAAATAAATATTTTTGTATAATAAAACAAATAAATTTACATATTTATATAAACAATATAACACAAACAGAATGTTTATCTCACAATTAAAATAGTTTTGTAATGGGGAAAAATATCAAACAATTTGATTTGGCAATTATTACTTTAAAACCACAAGGGTCTTTGTAGATCCGACATATACATATGTTACATATTTTTAATTGTGTTCGTTAGAAGATATTCAAAGTATTCTAAATACAATAAAAACACTTTTATTAAAATAAATTTATTTATATTTCTTAACATAAAAATATTTCTAAAAATTAACTTGTTTATTTTTGTCAATTTAAAAGAAAAGATAGGTTTAACTTAAAAATATAGAACATAAAGATTTTTTATTTTGTTACGCAGTATGACGGTTTGTTTTTTCAATTATGGTCGACGATGCTCATTTCAATCAGTGAAATAAACGAACTTATTTTTGTAAATACTTCTGTAAGTAAAATCTTATTATGAATTATCCTCAAGTTTATTTCATTAAACGAGAAAATTAAGAAAGGCTAATTAGTATTAATACAAATTGAATTTCATTAAGGCGATTGGCTAAAACTGACGAACGTTTTACAATTAATTATATTTACATATCATCTGTGACGTACTAATTATAATACACTATAATCCATAGTCAGTGGTGGCCTAGTGCTTAAAAACGTCCGCTTCTCGTGTACGAGGGCGCGGGTTCGATCCTGGCAAAGTACCAATGTGATTTTTCCGAGTCATATGTATGTACTTTCTAAGAGTGTTTAGACACCACCAAAAACTATAAATACTGGCTTCAGTCATTTTCAGTCAGTCAGTCAGGTCAATGCGGAAAGCAACTCCGAACATTGAAAACAAGACTCAAACTGTATCTCGAACAAGATTCATATCATTTTAATCACAAAGCTATTTCAGAGTTTAAGTCAAACATGACTTATTCATAAATGTTAAATTTACACTTACTTACTTGTATGAGTAAGCCGAGTATCACAGGAAAACTAAAGGAAATTATATAGGCACGTTTGGTTGTTGGAATTTTAATGTCCCTTTTAATTTGTGGTCGATATATTTGAAATTCACAGTTAGATGATTATTTCGAAGTCATGAACATCACAACTCATATAGTATTCAATAAGAATAAATAAAAAACTAAGAGGAAATAATATCAAGACATATTTGACACAGAAAAATAAACTGTAGCCTATTGTCAGATACCTAGTTACATGGAAGTCAAAATAGTGAATATTTATGTGATTATTTATTATAAGTAAAGAATGAAATAACACAAGTTTAGTAAACACTTGACGAAAATTGTTAATTGTTTGTACTGTCGCAATTTTAAAAATATATATATTTTACAACATTTACTTAATTAATACTCACAGTAAAATGATCACAATACGCCTTACGAGAATTCATATTTATTTATTGATCAAAATTCGCTTTGTGCCAATTATATCAAAAAAGTAGAATTATTATTTACTTTGTAAATTGTTCTTAAAAATCCCAATTTACAATTCGTAGTAATTTTAAATTGACTACGTTTTTCGGGCAAATTAATAGCTTTTATTGTTCTATTTATATATTTTACCCTACGCAGTCAAATGAGATAAAATTGATCTTGATTACCGCTGCTTGAAAGTGAACTAAACGCAGTAAAAGATTTAAAATAATGGAATAAATGAGTGTAGTATGTAATAAAATAAGTTTCATTCTAAATGTGTATTTAATGTGTTCATAATTTCTAATTATTTGAATACCATTGAGCTAATAGTAATCCTCTGTTTTTAAAAACTGAAACTTTCTCGTAATACCTATGTATTAATTTCTACAAATTGAGAAGGGATATATGTACTTTTTTTGCTAAAGGAGGCAATCAGACAGACTGCTTACGTGATGGAGGTGGTACCGTAACCCATGGACATCGGCAACATAGTTTAGCGTATTCGTTGACAATCTTGATTAGGGAAGAGGGAGAGGAAAGGGAGGGAAAAGGGAAGGACAACCGTCTCTCTCACTCATCGGCAAAAAGCAGCCATTAAAAACTACTTCATACCGATCTTCTGTGAGAGGGTGGTACTTCCCCGGCCGAACCAACCCAAGTTAGAAGAGTTAGTTAGGCTCCTAAGAAATAAATAAATTTTGAATGTAGTTTAAGAATAATCCATATAATATAATATTGTTTCATTGTTTATCAAACATCACTCTCATTACAAACATTACTAAAGTGATAAAAAATAATCATAGTCTTATCAAAAATTTGGTCATGCTAATGAATAACGTGTTTGATTAAATACGATTCCCCCATTTCCTGATAAATTTATACATTTAAATGTAAATTTAAATTTCATTCTATCTCAAAGCGTCTGAATTATTCTGTTTGTCATCGTCTTTATCCATCAATGTTCTCACATGTGTCAAAATGATGAATGTAATACAGAATGGAATCCAATATAGTTCAGTCAATGAATCTTCTTGTCATAATGTTCATGAATAAAACATTTAGTTTACTTTATAGTTGTGCCTTGACTTATATAGGGTGGCAACCGGAGGTTCCAGGAAACATACAAAACTTACTTATATGTATATATTATGAGAATTACATGTTAAAACTTATAACCTATCCCTATTAATATTATAAATGCGAAAGTAACTCTGTCTGTCTGTCTGTCTGTTACGCTTTCACGCCTAAACCACTGAACAGATTTTAATGAAATGGGGTACGGACATAGAGTTGACCTTGAGAAAGAACATAGGATAGTTTTTATCCCAGACTTTTAAAAGGTTCTCTTGGAAACGCGATATAACCCAACTCCACGCGGGCGAAGCTGCAGGCGGAAAGCTAGTACCTAATAGTACATGATTGGCCCGATGTTAGCATAGCATCACCATTCCATAGCTTGTATGGTATCATGAATCTTCTGGTTCACACGGCTTAGTGTTCGTTCCGCGGAGTCAGCGACATCACTCGTTATATGATATTTTATCCATACAAAGATGTCGACCCGGCGATGTTCATTTATATCTTCATATCTAGCGCGTACGTAATACTTGTTACATTTTTTACTTATTTACCCCCTTAATGATGACGATGACTACTTTAAGGTTATTTTAGTACAAAATTATTTACAAAAATAATTCAGGAAACGAATATATTATTGCATTATAATAATGTAGCTTTCTATTCAATTATCTACTACTGTTGTCTAGACTACATTCTTATTCCCGAAATAAATTAATCATTAATTACTAGATTTATTCCTGGTATAGATATATACGCAAATATATTTTTAAATTACAAGATGAATTGTAACTGTATCCTTATTGTAAGACGGATTTTTTTAATATTATGCTTTTAATATATACATACATATACATACATATTTCTTGTAAACAGAAATTCATTTAGGATTTTATATTTCAGAAACTGTTCATTTATTTAAATTTAGGTTTATTTATAACTTGTGAAATCTGTTATCCATAAATTGAAGATTGTGAAAGATATTTAAATTAAAATAATAATATCCTGTTACTTCTTCTTCTTCCTGGCAATTTC